ATATATATATATATATATATATATATATATATATATATATATATAGGGGATGGTTCAAGTGAGAATGCACCTTGGTGAAAGAAGTAAGAATAAAATCTGGCCTTTGGATCTGATGCATCGTGCGGCTCAGATTGCATTCTGCACTCAAATTTTGAGATAGTGCATTTTCAAAGGATTATGGTGCATTTCGACATGATGCATTTTCAAACCATCTTGGTGCACCTAATTTTGATGCAATCCTCTGCATTAGATCTCCCAATCTAATGCACCAGATTCATTCTTATTTCTTTCATTAGATTGCATTCTCACCTGAACCAATATATATATATATATATATTGGTTCCGGTGAGAATACAATCTTATGAAAGAAATAAGAATGAATCTACACCCTCCATTTGGCACCTGCAATTGTATTGCTCACGATGTTCCGATGGTCAAGAATGTATTTTGAATTCAAATACATTTCCCTCTCAACCTATAGCTCTGTATATCCCGAAATCATCGCATTAGCTTCAATATGAAAACCACCATCCCGGATCTTCTAAAATCTTCAAGTGTGCATATCTTATTGTTTTTGCTGTCGACTAGCATATCGCCTTCGTCTGTTTTTTCTTCTTCTGTGGATACCTGGGTGTTAAATCGTTGATGGATTTAGGTCAACTTATTTAGTTTTGCTGGTTTAATACGAAGTTGATCCCATTTTTTTTTCATTTTATGTTTGTGCCCAACATAATTTGAGAAATTGGAATTTGATGATGTCACAATCCATATGGTGGAACAACTATGTTGGATTATGAACATGGTTTGATCCGAGACCATCAAGGGTGCAACCATGTTGGATTTTCAACCGTAAGGCAAGATGTTGCCAACATGATTCCATACAATACTCTACGTTTTAATGTCCCCCTATTTGCTTCTTCCATGTTGTAGCTCAGTCTTTGGATGGTGTTGAATTTTCCTCAGATTAGAACATTAAGGATTGCACATCACATGTTCGACAAAATGCCACAAAGACATATCTGGTGCAAAGTACTTCTAGCCCTCTGATTTCATATGTTCTTATTGAAGATTAAACACATGAGAAGTACTACCAACCTTTTTTCTACAAGCATCCTACCCCATCATCAATTTTATACCCAAGACAGCCTCAACCATTGCCAATATTCAGAAAATGCAGAAAGAAGCTCCCTCGATGCACAAAATTCTGATTAAAGCCTCATGTTGTTTGAATGGTGTCCAAAAACTTGGGTGAAGGCATCCAATTTTACAAGTGTTACAATTCGTTTGAGAGATTTGATCCATATGTGTAAATTAGATGACTTCTTTCGGTCAACCTTTCATTTTAAAAAAGATACATTTCACGTTAAATATTGGTGCATATGTAATTTGTTTTAAAGTGCATTTGTATAGTTGTGTGTTGTACTTTTGTTTTGAAGTGCATTTCTATTGCTATGTGTTACAAGTTTTTACCTTTTAGATGAAATATTCTAATGTCTTATTTTGACTAATATGTGTAAATTAGATGAATACATTAAAGTATTCTTTATATTAACTTGGTCCAATCTTTCATTTTTAAAAAGAGAGATTTGGCGTTTAGATATCAGTGCATGTGTTGTTATGCTTAACATTACATTTACAGTTCTTTGTATTGCACTTTTTGTTTTTACAAAATGCACCAAAATTTTAGAATAAACCTTATACTTGTGCTTGAATTTATATACATACATGCACTCACAATAGCAAAAGTCATGTTTCTATATCTATCATCGTTTATGGTTCTCAATGATGAGCTATTTAAAACATCTAATCACTAATTTTTTTAAATTCGCGCACACGATATAAGACTGCCGTGCATTATGACAATTAAAAATTGTAATATCAAATAACAAAACACATTTCCAATAAAAGTAAAGTTAGAAGTTTCATAATGCATGGCTGGGGAACAGATGATCCAAATTAACCCAAGCGCCAATGCATCCCAAAAGAATAGAAATGCAGCACACAAGAGTTCAAATGCACTTCATACACATTTGCTGTAAAATTGTATCACTATGCACTATACAAAATACAATTTTATTAATCACACTATTTAAATATTTGACTATGCTTTTTTTAAAAAAGCTTTTACTCCGTCGTATTAGATATAAAAAAGCAAAGCACAATGGATATTAGGTAAGTGCATTAATTGGGGGAGGTGGGTTTGTTTTGTTTGATCAGGACTCGGGTGCATTTTTCATTTCCCTTTTTGCCCTTAGTAATTACTCCTTCCATATTTTGTAAGAGTATAATTATTACTTACCATTATTATTCGTTACCAATCAGCAAACACGATTCAAAATCCTAGCCGTCCGATTCACCTCATCTAATGGATTAATACCATTCTCATTTCTTTCACCAAGCATCATTCTCACAGGAACCAACCCCTATATATATATATATATATATATATATATATATATATATATATATATATATATATATATATATATATATATGGGACTGACTCTAGTGAGATGACACTTTATGGTGAGATGACATGCTTCAGTGAGATGACGCAAAGCTCACCACACTACACTACAAAGCTCACCAATGGACAATGCAAAGCTCACCTAGAAATAAAGCAAAACTCACCACTTTGAACACCAAAACTCATTTTTTTTAAAATTTTAAAAATGAAAAAGTTAATAAAAAATAAAATAGCAACACCGGTCAACCACCGGTCAAGGCGGCGGCGGGCGGCGGTTGCCGGCGACCGGCGGCGGAGTCCGGCAACCGGCGGCGGTGCGGCAGCGGCGACCGGCGGCGGTGCGGCGGCGGCGGCCGGCGGCGGAGCGGTGGCGGCGGCCGGCGGTGGCAGGCGGTAGGCAGCGGTCAATGGTCCCGGTCAATGGTCAAAATCTAGTCAACACCCCTTCCTTTGATTTTATTTTTCAAAAAAAAATTCAAAGTGTTAAAAAAATATGGTGAGCATTGCTTTATAATTTGGTGAGCTTTGCAGTGGCTCGTGGTGAGCTTCTTGTCATCTCACCATAAGGTGTCATATCACTGGAGTCAATCCCTATATATATATATATATATATATATATATATATATATATATATATATATATATTAAGGAATATTTTTATTGAAATAGAAAGAGAGAACAAAGAAAGTACAAAAGGTGGGGGGTTGGCCGGACCCCTACAAGGCCTGAAACTCACTGCAACAAGGAACTAAGAGAGCCAAAACAACAATAAAACTACAATAAAAACAGAGACCAGACAGGGGTGGGGTTCTCCAGTCATGCCACTTTTCCACAGTTCCTGTCCATAGCCTTTGTGAGAAATTCCAAATGCAACAATTAAGGGAAGGCTTCATTAATACTTCCCATGATTGGACCTTAATGTACGCAGTACATGGAGTATTGAATCGAACTCACAAGGTCGATATGCAGATTGAATCGTGCTACTGCCCAAGGCCTCGAGATGCTAAAATGCATACCAAATGCCCTGTGGTGAACAAAGGCAAACGAGAACAAATTCCCTAAGTTGGCCAGTAAAACCATTAACCTGTCTTGTATGAAAGCCCAGATAAAGGTACTCAATGAACAAATGTAAAGGAGATGCTCTTGGCAGAAGGTGCGGCTAAAAGCTAAACCTTGAATTCACTGTCAGCATCATTGAAACAAAAATTCATAACCAACTGTAAAAATAGCAAACAGATTAAGCATCTCAAAAAAGCATGCTTTTTTCATGAGTAAGCTTTGCTCTTAGATCCGAGAGCCTTTTACTTCTACGAGGACGAGAAGATTCATGTAGCTTTTGGGAAAGTTTGTCGAATTTCCTTTGGTTTTTTTTCATGATTGCTTCTATGTTCACATGCCAATTTTCCTCCTCTTCAGAACCTTTATCCGTGATCCATTCCTCCTCTGATTCATCTGATGGTATATGAAGAGTATTTCTCAAAGGTTGGATTTCATGATCGGAGTTGTATTTAACATTCTAATGAGGGCTTTCTAGCTCATTGTCTGAATTGGAACAACCAAGGAAGTGAGGAGCCACTGTAGGGGTATCTTGGTGTGTGTTTAGGGGAACAAAAGCAGCAGCTAAAGCGGAAAGAGAAGACGATTAGGTTGGGGTTGTCAAGTGGATAGAGTGGGGATTCGAAACAGCAAGTGTTATGGGAGAAGACACTGGTGTAAGCTTCGAAGGCGTTGAAGGAGGCTTACAGAATTCAATTCGGTTGAAGAGGGTATCTAATGGAATCTCCAAGGTGAGAAGGCTCTGTGAAATAGAAAGAGCTTGGGGTTCTGAGGGCATTGAAATCTGAGAGCAGATTATGGCCATATCTGTGAAAGGTTGGGGCAGGGGAATGGAAGACTTAAGTACATCATAGGCTTTTTTAAAGCAGTGGGTGAATGTGGTGAATCCATTGCCTTGGTTACCTTCGGGAATGAAGATCCAGGTCCTGCCATCTCTGTGATGCTCGCATAGCTTAATGAAGTTCCTGGTTCTATGAGAATGGAAACTGAAAGAAATGGATCTGCTCTGTTCTCTCTTAACTACTGATATTAAAGATCCTTGGGTAGCAAAATCAGTTAGGGATTCTAGTAGCCAAGAGCAGAGATCTAGGCCCAACCAGATATTGAATCGTTTCTTCCCATGAAATTCGGTAGTGCATAGTTTCTTGTTGAATCTCGAGAGACTAAAAGAGAAAATCTTACCTTCGATTTTGAACTTGAATGGACCTGCGGGTGTGTCTCTCTCTTGCAACTCTGATAATTGGTTTTGAATTCCAAGGTCCACGATGACCGGCGTAGGGTGAAGCATCCCGATTGATTATGATATGTCTCCATGATTGATTGTTCGGGGTAGGGTTGCGGCTCTGTTGGCAGAAGACGAAGAGGGATGATCAGGACTAGGACCTTGTAGCTTCTGATTGTGTATAAATGGCGGAGCTGAGAAATGACCAGGGTAAACAATCACCGTCAGCGGAGGAGCTCTCCAACCTCTCTCTAAAACCATTCTTGTCAATGATCCCTCTATAAGCCTTCTATAGCCTTGCTCGGGGGCAATCAAGTGTGGTTGGTAACCATCTGCCTCTGAAACAATTTTCCTCAAGTTCTGTGTATATAGATGGCGGTCAAATGGAAGTTTTCTCAAAGCTGCAGGAAGCTGATGGTCAAAAACGCCATTGATTATATCACCACCTGGTCGGCTGAGTGAATGATAAGTTAAAATGTGAGTGAGCAATATAGAAAACCAATAGGAATAAATAAAAGGTCATTGGTCCAAAGCTTTCAAATCATCTATTTGAGGGTTAAAGCTAGCAATAGTCTTAGATGCTTTAGAACATCTGGATTCTGGAGATAAAAAAATCATGCACTACGTCAGTAAAAAAGAGTCATGTTTGACTAGTGTAAAAAAATTACTTTTGGGAAGCTACAACTGCAAAACAAACCATAAACCTTAGTCTTTATTGTTTAACCAAATTTATGTGACTTGCTTGTGACTTTTTTTGGAGACAGACCTTTGAATCCAAAGGTTTAAGAATGAGCAGGACTAAGACCAAGCACGTGGAATGTTGCCTCAGTGGTAGCTGGTAGGAAGACGGTGTTGGAACTGGAAATGAGGATCGAGTCGCATCTAATGCCTACAAAGGGCAGGTTTCGGCACCTTGGATCTATCATTCAAACCGGAAGGTGGCATGATATTGGTGCCGCTTGAGCAATGTGGAAGCTTGCTCCAAGAGTCCTTTGCGACAAGAGGATATTGACGAACCTGAAAGAATTTTTTTTATCAAATTGTGGTCAAACCGACTATTTTATATGGTGTAGAGGGCTGCAGGGTGAAGGTGCTCAAATTTAGAGGGTAAGAGTACTAGAGATGATGATGTTGAGATGGATTTTTAGTCATACGAAAACGAATGAGGGTATTAAAGGATGGGTGGAAATGTTTTGCGTAGAGGATTAGCTGCATGAAACTAGATTGAAATGGTTTGGAATTTGGACACATCCTGAGGAGATGCACCTAGTCAAGTGAGGGGGTGGGATAAGCTTGGTAGGGGCAAGAAGAGGGGTTGAAATAGACCTAAGAAGAATCGAAAGAAGTTGATTAGACATGATTTACTACTACAAGATCTTACCGAGGATATGTTTCTTGAAGTCTAGGATTAGGGTGGTAGGGTAGTCCTTTGAGGAAAATGAACCTTAGTTTGTGGTCCTTTCTGTCTGTGTTCTTTCTTTCAGTGTACTTCATTTGTTGTGCCCTGTGTCTTGTGCCAGGGTCTCTTGGAAATCATCTCTCTACTTTCTAGGTAGGGTAATGTCTGCGTACACACTACCCTCCCCAAATCCCACTCTGGAAAATTACTATTTGTTGTTATAGCTAACCACGACTCCTTTTTGAAAGAAAAAAAAGTTAAAAAAACCCCATCTGTTCCTTATTAGTGCGAATGGTTTGACTCACAAGTAGCCACATAGGTTACAAGTGAAAATGGCTATTAAAGTATAATTTTTTGTTTAATGAGAGAAAATGTTTAAGTGGGAACGAAAAAGTGGGTGAAATGGAGTAAATGCGACAGGGGTGAGGTAGTATTAAAAGCAATGGTTGTGTAAAAGAGCTGGATTATGTGAACCTTTCCAAAAGAAGAAAGGGAGTTTAAATAGTTTCCACACTAATATGGAACAACAAAAGAAAGAATGAATGCATAGTAATAAGGAACAGATGGCATAAAATATCTACTTCACAACTTAGCTAGTAAAGTATGTCTATGCTGCTTAGTTGTTGAAAAAAAGGGCATCAAGTGAACCAAAACAATCGAAACATAAGTTGCATACCCTCCATCTAGATGCTCTTTAAATATCTTGTAAAAGGCACGAGATAGTTCCAAGATAGTATAGAGTTGAGCCTGAAATAAAAAATGCATTTGTGAAGTAAGAATGTTATTGAATGTTTTAAGAGCAATGATGAAAGAGAAAGGTAAACTAACCCCTGCATCAAGAACAATAGGCCTACCAAGGTGGTCCAGCTCTGATTCAAGTTCATATATGTTTTTTGTTTATTGAAGAAGTAATGCTTGGGATCCTTGATCTAATCACAGACTCCAAATGCTGAAACCAATATATTTACAACAGCTCACCATATGTAAATTTATATCCATATTGTAAATAATGACACCATTATATTCTAGTACTCACTTTTGAGAGAAGCTTTGCCAAGTATTCTGAACCCATTTTACTCGCATGGTGCCCATAGTCCAGGCTTGTAGCAAAATATTCACGTTCCTTTGTCCTGGCAGAAATCATGTCTACATTTCTGTTTATATCAGCTTGGGAGCGGTTCACAACACCCACCCAAGGATATCGCAAGCGATAAGCTCTTCCTTCAAGAACCTTAGGTGGCAAGAAAACAACTCCAATTGTGAGAAAAGTGACTTGTTTGGTGATCCATAATGGGATTATAGAAGTTTACAACACAAAGGATATGCATCTGAACACCAAATGCTCACATCCAAAGCGTTAGTCCCTTTATCCATCAGATCAAGTTTTGTAAGCACTCCAAATGTTCTTTCCCCTGCATTAATATTTTTCTTAAGAAAAAATGGTGCAGACATATATTATCTTATTAGAACACCATGAGTTTCAAAATCACACCCACCGGATGGATCGACTTCTCTTGAAAGTTTTATTGCATCTGAGGTGGCAATATCCTGATTGGCTGGAGTTATTGCGAGTATAATGCAGTTTGGCTACAAAGCCATTAATAGGGGACATAAGTGGATAATGCTAAGTCACAACTCATGATAGCAATGACATGAAGATATAGGTAGAGTTCAAGAGGCGGAGATGTGAACACACAACTCAAATGTCAAAGTGACCAACAAATTTATCATGCGGTTATAAGACAGCATTACCTTCTGGACATAGGTTCGGACCATGTTTTCAATTTCTTGGACTATACTTTCTGGCTGTCCTTCTGCAATACACAAAACTTTAGTTGTTTCCTATTGGGATTACCTTAAACGAACACCAAATGATCACCTAAGTAGAGGGATGGATAAACGAAAACACTCACCAACAGCAACCTTTGTCAAACCGGGCAAATCAATTAGGGTTAAGTTTACCACTGTCAATGTAGTCAAGCCATGAGGAATGGTCAGCAAATGAGATAGGTATAGAAAGAAACTTAATAAAAAAAGCCTCACTCCCTCAAGGTAATGCAGAGAGTGTAGGGTATACCATTGGGTGAATAGATGCTGAGGTGAATGGGAACGGCAGAAATCTGTTTTGTTTTCCCCGTAAGTCTATCGGTCTCATCCTCAATCTCCTTACGGACCAAAGCTGCAAAAGAGAACCACAAATTCCCATAATAGAAAACTTCATGATAAAAATTGTCAAACATACAATATACTGTATTAGTGTACATAATGATAGATAATTCATATACCAAAATCAGTGAACTGTCTTCTTGGCAAATGAGCGAACTCCACATACTCCTCCAGCCCATCTTTGGTCTTGTGCAACTGCAACACCAGCAGCCGCCTCGTAACAATCCCTGCCAAAACCCAATATAGAACGTCAAACTAAGGAGAGACATTACACCCTGCATGTTTTGTTAACCCCATTTTTTAGCTCATCATTCCTGGCTATATTTTTTCTTAATCAAACAATAACTTAGTTGATTGGCCAAGGGCTTGAGTTGGTAATGGAAGAAGGTTAGAATTTTTGCATAGCAGAGAATACACACGCTCGTTTCTGCTCACCGGATCCTCGGGGAAGAAAATCCCTTCCAACTATGCTTTCCAGCACAGAAGATTTACCAGAACTCTGAATTTAGTCCAAGGACAGTCATCAATTGCGGGAAAAGAAAAAAAAACAGAAAAAGAATAAAAAACTCTATATTTCCCGCGTAAACGAGGATGAGGAGGAGGAGCGAATTGATATGACTGACCTGGCCACCGACCACAGCGACGGCGGGAAGCTCATCCCACAGGGAGGAGAAGGCGCTGCCGTAGCTAGGGGTGGGCGCCGTGATGAGGTTCGGTATAGGTATGGGATAACTCCAAAACGGTTCCCTACCATTCCAACTGTACAATATCATACTCTATACACGGTAATACTCTATACACTGTAATAATGAAAGAGTTTAAAAATGAATAATAAAATACGAAATACTCTATACACGGTAAGATGAAGTAGACATATACTCCATAATTATTTGAGATATGTACTCCGTATATAGCGTTGGCGGTTCGGTCCGTGATAATCGGTTTTAAATATTTGTATCACGGTCCCGCCCCTTTTGGTATCAGTTCGGTTTCGGTTCGTGATGAAAAAAAATCAATCTCGTTTGAAAACACTATAAACGGTTCGGTACCATTACGGTCCGGTACGGTACCATGCTAGTTCGGTTTTTTTGCCCACCCCTAGCCGTAGCCGTCGCCGCCGTAATCGCCGAGAGCAGTACAAGCTCTCTGAACACGGTTCACCAAACCTATCAAGCTTTCCATGGTCGTCATCTCCAAATATAGCCGAACAAATTAGGAAATTCAGCTCGGGCTTCTGTAGAAAAAGAAAGGAAGGATAAAAATGGTGATTTTAGCTTCTAACTTAAGCAATTAAAATCGGTGGGAAGAGAAGAATCAAACATGACTCTCATCCACCGGGAGTGTATATGGTACATCCGGGTAGTACTCATTCTGAAGTAAAGTAGTACTCATTCTTGTATCAATATAAGCATTAATTTTGAAAATCATTTACTCATTCTGAAAAGACGTAGTACTCATTTTCACATAGTTATAGAATATTCATTTACGAATAATCTAATACACATTCTAAAACCTAGTAGTACTCATATCCACACAACTTAGTACTCATTCTTCAACTACTTATCATAGTTTATGCCCTAACCTCTATTCCCAAGATCTTGAATTCTGCAGAACCTGGAAATCAAACGGAAGAACAAATCTTCACCATCATCATCATCACCCATCATCCCAAAATCGAAAAGAAGAACAAATCTTCACATCATCATCGATCATCATCGTCGTCGTCGATCCGCACAGCATCATAGATCCTCGCGAATCTCCCATCGGCTAGCCTTCTTCATCGCCCTTCATCGCCGATTCCTTCCCGTTCGCACCTATTAAACGCCGGCTGTACCTATCTCTAGGTACAGCCGGATGTATAATATAATTTGCGCTCATCCACCTGGAAATTGGAATAAACGCCGTATGATTTTTAACTTTAACGATTGAAGAAACAAAAAATGCAAATTTAAACCGTTTTTTTTAGCCCGACGCCCCGACAAAAGTGTCACAGTGTCACTAGACTCAATCCCCAAATCTAGGAGTAAACTAAGTACCTCATATGTACACTAAGCTAATACAGACACACATAAATACAAAATGATTGTGCTACACAGACATTTTTTATTTATGTATGTCTGTGTTGGCTTGATGTACATAGGGAGAAAGACCAAACTAGAATTAAAACATTGTGAATATACCAAAATAGGACTTCCATGTTTTTATTCCCGAAATAGGACTTACATTACCAAACATGGTCATATACATTACAAAAAAAGTATAGTAATTTGCACATGTACACTGCCACATTACCACAATGCAAAGTCACATTACCACAGTGCAAAGTCCTATTCCGGGAAAAAAACATGAAAGTCCTATTTTGGTACTTTTATCTATGTTTTAGTCCTATTTATGATGATTTCTAATGTACATAATGGGATACCCCATGTTGGTGTACCCTTAGCATTGCCAAAATTTTTATGGGTCTATCTCTCAATATTTTTATTTTTTCTTTTATGAATTTTTATTGATTATTTGATAAAATAGAATTTTTTATTCTTTCTTTATATTCTGGAGTATAACTTTTGACGTAATTTTTAAAATGTAAATTTTATTAATTATGCATATACGAGGTACTAATTTTTAAAAAAATTAATTTTAAATCATCCATGTTTTGTATTGTAAATAGGAAATTTGTAACGCCCCGAAAATAGGCCTATCAAAATTAATTAATTGATAATTAAATAATTACTAAGAAAGATCCAAAAATAAGTGATTTATAAAGTGAATCAATAAATAATGAAAATTATATCGTTATGTAGAGTTTGATTGTCTAACCCCAACGGTTCAATCGGATTTCAATTTGGAGAAAGTTAGACCAAAAATCACACTGTACATCGTTATATGTGAGTGATTTTTCTTATTTTAATGGAGAGATTTTGCATTTTTCAGTCTATATATGTAGATCTTTTTTTGTGTCATAGAGTGAAAGGGTGGAATTTCCCTACCATTAGAAGTACATTAAAATAAATTAGCCTAAAAAATAACACTATATATGAGAGAGAAATTGTACTGATAGATTGATGAGAAACTTTTTTTCTTTACCGTGGAGTTGGAGTGTGTTTTTATAGACTTTATTGTACTCCTTTCGATGTCAAAATGATTCTTATCCATCTCCTATAAATCTTCATTCCCTAGCTTGCAACTGAGGCTGTAGTCCAGGTAAGGATGGACTAGGATATAGATATCATTTTGAAAATGAATAGAATAGTGTGAAATACTTAAATGGATGGAAGGCCTTATTATGTGTATATTCATGTTTAAACAATTAGTCTCTAAAAAGTTCGACCAATCAAATTTTCACTTCAATAAATTAAACATAATTTTTTGGGACATAAAAAGTACTTTAATCAATTTTTACTTTAAAGATAGTTTTACTTCAAAATTTTCAAGAATCTTACATTCCTACATCTTATGAAATACGCATTATTCAAAAGATGAACGTATCTCCTTTATTCGGTAAAGTAGTTCATAATTTGACTCCACAAAGTATTATTCTTGGGTTACGAAGAACTCAGTGACATAAAGTATTTCTTGATGTTTTATCCGGGCCGGGCGGCCCGGTGGGTAGTCCGGCTCGCAAAGATTGGGCGGGCATGGGTAAAGAATTTAGCCTATCAAATCCGGGTCAGGCCATGCCCGCCCATGTAAATGGGCTAATAATTTAAATCAAGCCCGGCCCGAATCCTTATTTGCACATGTCTAATATAGAGGTAAGACTTGCACAGAAACTTAGAATGCGAGTGCTCCAAAGCCAAATGTTTGTGAAGCCAAAGCCTAGGTTTCTCTAAAAAAACCCGGAATCTCATTACATTATTTGTTATCCCAAGATTTTAATTATCAAGAATTCTTAAAACAAGTGATGCTGAAATCAAATGGTAAGGATTAGGGGTGGGCACGAGCCGGTCCGAGCCAAGATTTGTATAAACCACACTCGGCTTGTTTTTATTAGTACGGCCCGAGCCGGAACAGTTTTTCAAAATTTTAAAATTGAAACCGGACTTAACCCGGCTTGTTTGAAACGGCCGATTCCACGGGTCAACGTATCCGAACCTATCACGATACAAATATTAAAAAATTAAAGTGATAATAAATTAATAATACATATATGGTCATTCACCATTAGTTTACAATAATGTACAACCCCCGTTGTCAATTTTAAGCCATCCAACACAAAAAGAAACCTAAATGAAAACAAAATGATGACAAAAAGGGGCATGGCCGTAAAGTGTACAAGAGGGGCCTGACAATAAAGTGTACACCCTCATGATCATCCAACAACAAAAAAAGAACACAACCACATTTTGGCATTATAACTCGTAAGGCTTTGTTCTCGGTGTAATTACTAATAATACGGAGTATTGAAAAGCGGTTTTGTCCGGGTCCTAGACAATTTCAAAATGTAGAACCAGACCGATCCTAAAACCTATAAGGACTGAACCGACCCGGCCAGTTATAAATATTTGAAAAAAGGACTCGCCTTTAACCCGGACCAGAACTGTCGGTTCGGTTTCGACTCGCGGTTTCTTGACCTGTTTGCCCACCCTTAGTAAGGATGTTGTGAATGCGTTTTGTGGCTTGACTAACGATTACTCTTATTTGATTTGATTATTTTTTATTTTATCGCATTGCTAGTTGTGGCAAAGAGATTAATTTTTCATAGGTCTCACGGTCTGCTAACAAAGCTGCGCATTTGTTGGCGCGAGCTTCTTATTCCTCCAAAGCTGTGGAGAGTGAATTGATTCTGTAACACTCTAATCCGTCCAGGTCTGCAACCTCTTTCTGATTAAAGTATTAACTTGGTAAAGTAAAAATTTAAAACATTTCAAATTTTAATTTATTTCATCATAAAATATTTTATCAAACTTGCGGAAGCTTAAATAATTGTTTCACATTACAAACATAATTATAAATAATTCAATTTTAATATTTATTTAAACAGTTGGAATGCCATCATAATATCAAGTCACATTATTCATTATTTTGTTTACCTGCGTATAGCAAATAAACATATTACGCGCTCAGCGTTGAAACTGAATAAGGATATCTCATACATCGAACATCCACATAAATTGAATCACAATTCATATCCAAACTATTTGATATCATGCACATAATATTTAGTTCAACATTCATAGTGTCAATAGTGCTCTTAAACTATTCTTAGTCTAAGGCCAAATAATAACAATCCTCTTAAATTATTCTTAGTCTAAGCCTAATTTATATTGATACACAGACTCTTAAACTATAATTAGTTTAAGGCAAAACACAAGAATCGATGACCTGTCTTATAGGTCATGCCCAAAATCGAACAGTAGTCTACTCAGCGTCGGGTTGGGTGTACTCCTAAACGAGTGGATACTTAAGTTTGGTTTGTGGATCTTGTACGTATGTTTTAACCTGAGCCACCGGATATCATATTCTCAAGGCCTAACTAAATTAGTCACATGGGGTCTATCTTAGAATTCTTCTATATAGCCTTGATTCTTTATCATCATCATTTGATCAAGATATTGTTTATTTAATCATGGTTCAATTATCAGAATTAATAACCAATAATAATAATCATCGTAATATTAAATAACAAATAGTGGCCTACCATCGAGTGTTAACACCCTGGCTAACTGTAGCGCCCCAAAATATACCCTAAAATTTATTGAATTAAATATTCAATTAAACAAAATTGTTTTGATTAAAATAACTTATAGTTAGGCTTTGGGTCGGAATTAAATATGTTTTGACTTCAATATGTGATCTTGATTGGGAACTAGAGTACAAACCCAATTTAGGAATAAATAAAGAATTTGTTCATGATGTGAACCAAGAAATGATTTATTGAAATAAATCATGAGAATAAATGATGTGAATTAAATGAAATAACCTTTTGGAATAAAGGTCAATTATATCAATTTTGACTCTGTCAAAGTCAAACACTCGAAAAATATGATGTTGGAAAAATATCACAAATAAATATGAAAATTATATCGTTGAATAGAGTTCGACTGTGTGATCGCAACGGTGAAAACAGAATTTAATTTGGAGAAAGTTGGACCAAAAAGTGCACCCCAACAGGAACCACAATTGGTCCCAATCAGGGAATGATATGGCGTGTAAATATCAGGAAATCGCCGTCATGCACGCTAAAGAAATTCTATGATCTAGTGACGAAATTTGCTTGGCTTCATCCTCTACCTCGAGGCTATATATAAGAGCACCATCAACATCCTCATTCTTCACCAAAAATTATAAGTTTAGTGCCAATGTGTTCTTGAGAGTGAGGAGAACATGTTACAATAGTTTGTGGCCGCCGAAGTCACTGGAGTTGGGAGTAATCATCGCCGGAAGTTTCGTCGGAAAATTTACAAAACCTTCGTTTAAGCGTGAGGTAAGCTTGTAGATGTATCTAGTGACTAGAATGTTCGTATAGATCGTTCATACGTTCATAAATGGTCGTTTTGTTGAGTTTTGTGTTTGATATGCTTGAAGACTCAATAATCATTAACCTTGAATTTGTTGTTAAAACTACAAATTAATGATGCCAAAATGATCTATGAAAATTAGAGAACATTTCTATATAGTTTAACTGAAGTTTGGTGACTAAAATCGATATTTCCAAAAAATGGACCGAACGAATAAGAAGATGAACAATAATCGAAAAACTAGTAGAGTGGATTGATCCACCCTACTGGATCGATCCTCTGGGTGTATATTTCTCTAGCATGGATCGATCCAGAGTACTTGATCGATCCCTCGAATTTCTTATCTTAAATTTTTTTCAGAAAATGTTATTTTTGAGTTCTAAAATTCTATTTTTGATACCAATCAATTATGATCAATATAAAGATGATTTCTCACAATAAATGATGTATTTGACAAATAAATTTTTCTGTGATGCATGACGGTAAGATAGTGTGTTAACACTCGATGCTAGACTGTTATTTGTTATTGAATATTATGATTATTATTAATTGATGATTATGATGATTATTATTGATTCATGATTATGATGATTAAACCTTGAAGAATATTCTCATTAAATGATAAATGAATGATTAAATCATGGTTAAAAATGAATATATTGATTGTTAATGGTATCTAAAATAACTCTAAGATATACCGCTATAGATATTGATTTTGGAGGGGTATTTAGAAGAACTCTAAGATATATATCCAATTGACCAATTTAGTTATTTGATCTTGATTTCCAAGGGTATCTAGAAGAAGTCTAAGATATATTCATATTGATATTGATTTCAAGGAAATCTATAAAAACTCTAAGATATACCCATTTAAGTTAGGCCTTGCGGGTACCACTCAACCCGACAGTGAATATTCCACTGTTCGGTTTCTAGTTGACCTTAAACGAAGATAAGTTTAAGATTTTGATCGAAAATCTTCTTGAAAATCTGTATCTTAAACTTGGTCTAGCTTAAAGGTCGGTTAGGAGTACATTAAACTTGAATATAGTTTAAAAATCTTAAACTAGAATTTGTTTAAACGTTGGTTAAAATTAGTGTCTAAGACTAAGAATAGTTTAAGAGCTTTGTTATTAAAATGATTTAGCCTTAGATTAAGAATAATTTAAGAGCACTATTGAAATACTGAATATGGAATGATATATATCATGAAATGACTTGTATTGAATATTGTGAATATCATGAATGATAAATCACTTGTATTGAATATTGTAAATATCATGAATGATAAATGACTTGAATTGAATATTGTGAATGATGAATGCTTGAATTGAATATTATGTGCATGGTATCAAATGATTTGATTATAAATTGAGATTCAATTTATATGGATGTTCAACGGATTAGATATGCTTACTTTTCTTCAGCATTGAGCGTGTAATATATTTTATTTACTACACGCAGATTAATAGAAATAATGATGTGACGTAATTTTAGAGATAGACGAATGCAAGATTGTCGAAATACATGTGATGGTTTTTGAATTGAAGAACATAAATAAATTATGTTTGTGATTATGATTTGTTAAACTTCCGCAATATTAAAAATTTCATACGGTTACTGTTATGAATATTATTCTTGTGATGAATAAAAGTATTTGAAATACTTTAAATTTTTATAATTATCAAGTTAATACTTAAATTATCTATTTACAACCGATAGAACCAAATTTTTTTACTTTCTTTTCTTATTTTTACTACTAATTTGATAGAATAATTTAACAACTTCATTTCTTGTTTTCTATAGTTCTTATGTAGTTTTTAATATGTTAAATTATTGTTAAATTTCAGCCAAATTCTAAGATAAGTTATACGGAGTATTAAAAATAACGTAAAACAAACATCTTAAACTAAAACAGGCAATTTAGATCAGGACAATTTAAATTAGAACACACGGAGTAGAAGTCATGCATACACTAATTTTTCTATGAGGTACGGAGTATAATATTGTTAATACCCTTTTATAAATACAGATCTTTTAAAAGTAATCATTTGCAATAACAAGCCATTAAACCAATGTCGCTTTCTTGAAGGAGTGGGAAACTAAAGGCATGGTTTACTAATCATCACAAAAATGCCCAAGACAAACGGGGAAAACAAAAACATTCATTCTACAATTAGTAAAAAAAAATCATACCCATAACTCTATATTAGTTTTCGAAGAACATACATGAACAAAGCAACAACCTACTCTGTAAATTCCCACAAGTGGAATCCGGAGAGGGACCTTGCGCTGACCTATAAAAGACCTCTACTGGCTCTAGGACAGATGGTTAAAAAAACAGCAGCAAATCATAAGTTGCTAGCTAAATGATACACTAATTTCCTGTCAATTAGAGATCTTTTTTATACCATAAATACAAAATTCCAACTGAGGCACTGAGCTTTGAGCCTTTGACAAAACTTCAATTTGCTCAGCATACTATAATTTGTACATGAACACATCTGATGCATATGGCAAAATGTAATTGCCACTGAGTTGCATTTTTTTTACAGCTACAACCGGACGAAATGTAGCTTCAGACAAAACATCCATTGACACAAACCCAATGGTGCTCGAGCGCCACAAATCTAAATGGAGAAAATGTAGATATGATATGACACCTACAGACAAACAATGTGAAGTTGGACAGATATACAGTCTAGTCAAAAGAAAGAATGTGAAGACTAATAAAATTACTAATATGACCCTGAGTTAAAGTACCTGCTAAGAGAGGTAGATGTTGCTAGACTACGACTGCCATGGTTGTGACAATGACACAGTAGGTGTAGATGCCTTCAGCCCTTTTTTCCCATGAATCGCCGATTTTAACACGTTGTATTGCTGGTTCACTGAATCATAAAGGCTACTGCAGTACACAACCTTAGCCTGCATGTAAGTGCAAATGAGTATCTGCTTGAACATTGGTGGATTCAGAGAGTATTATCTGTTGCTAACCTTATAATAAAGTAATAAACTAGCACTGCCAGATCAAATGACCATTATGTACCTCACAGAGAGGGAAAAAATACATCCACATACAACTATACAAAGGAATGTCAATTTTGTTCCTCTTTTAGTCTTTCACTGAATACTCTCTTACCCTGGTGCGCTACATTATCTTATTTTGACGTTCACTAATAATAAATGCTAATGAATATTTCAAGTGTGCAGGAGCAAACATAGTACACTAAGTTTTGGTTTTTGAGAAAGCAGTTGGAAGCATCATAACTAGTAGTAGTACTCTTATGATTGTTTATTGAAGCAAGCTCAAATAATAACAAAAAATAATTTGAACCATCTTAATTTACCCCTTCATACATTCTCCAAATAAAAAAAATCATCCGGAACTGTCATGCAGAAGGTCCAACCATGGGCTGGCAGTTGACCGTTTGGTTGGTTTAAATTTAAAAGCAATCAATTGACTTCTAAGAGAAAAATATTCAAACAGCTCATCTCACAAATAAAACAGTTTGTTCATTTTGAATGATGTAACAACCAATGGACCACACACTGGAATTTGGACTCTAATGGCAGTTCAGTATTGACGAGTGGATTTTCACTTATATTTAAATGATAAAGCTACCATCCATGGCTAATGGGGTTACAGCCTAAAATTGTCATTATTGACAAGGTTTTGTTTGGGGCACATAATGAACCAAATAAAAATGGAACATTAAACCTCCCTTGTTTCTTACATTCTGCGAAGTTTTTAACAGAAAATGCAGCAACGCATCTAGGGTCAAACGGAAAGAGCTTCCAAGTTTTTACAAGGGTAAGAGTGTAAAAGACAGCAAACATCTTGACCCCAGACCACAACTTAGTTCAGTACACTGGGTTGTTGTATTAAATTGATACACACACACACACACAAACATGTATATATATATATATATGTATATATATATGTATATATATATATGTGTATATATATATATATATGGGATTTTGAAATCTTCCACCACTTGAAGTGGTGTAAGCTCGTGAACCAATTGATTAGGGGTACCTACAGTGTTCCATTCGTAAAATTGATCGTTCCTACCCCCCTAATGCCGCCCGAAACCCCCTGACCTAACAATTTCACCCCGCCTGCACCCCCGCCCCTAGATCGCCGATTTGGGGCCCCAAATCAGCGATCTAGGGGTGGGGGTGCAGGTGAAGTGGGCTAGGGTGGGGGCGGGGTGAAGTTGATAGGTCGGGGGAATTAGGGGGTAGGAACGATGAATTTTAAGATTTCAGTCAAATGACACCTTATGGTTCGATGATCAGATGACGTAAAGCTCACCACTGCCAACTACAAAGCTCACGAACAGCAACTACAAAGCTCACCTATTTTTTCAACACTGTTTTTTTATAAAAAAATTTAAGGAGTGGACTCTAAATAATTTTTTTTTTCTTAAAAGTTTTAAAAAAAAGACGAATTTTGGTGTTCAAAGTGGTGAGTTTTGCTTTAATTCCAAGTGACTTTTACATTGGCAATTGGTGAGCTTTGTAGTGTGCAGTGGTGAGCTTTGCGTCATCTCATCATCGAACCAAAAGGTGTCATTTGACTTGGAGTCAATCCCATACATACATGCATGCATGCATGCATGCATGCATGCATGCATACATACATACATACATACATACATACATACATACATACATACATACATACATACATACATACATACATACATACATACATACATACATACATACATACATACATACATACATACATACATACATACATACATAC